GGAGCCGCCCCCCGCCGGGGGGGGCCCCGCTCCCCCCGGAGCCCCGCCATGTCGCAGGTGCTGCCCTACGGCGAGGACAAGGTGGGCCGCTACGGCGCCGAGCCCGAGGCGGGGGAGCTGCCCTTCAGCTGCCGCCTGCAGGACACCAACGCCTTCTTCGGGGGCAACCAGGGCAAGCGGCCCCCCAAGCTGGGACAGATCGGCCGCGCCAAGAGAGGTACCGCCGACCCCCGCCTCTGCCCCCCAGCCCCGCCTCAGCCCCCGCACCCCCGCATCTGCCCTTCAGCATCCCCGGGTTTGTCCCGGGACCCTCGGAGCTGCCCTGCAGCATCCTCGGCATCCCTGGTGCTGATTCCTGCATCCCCGGCACTGCCCCACGGCATCCCCGAGACCCCCGGATCTGTCCTTTTATCCCTGGTGCTGACTCCTGCATCCCCGGCACTGCCCCACGGCATCCCCGGGACCCCCGCATCTGTCCTGCAACGTCCCCGGCACTGCCTCCTGCATCCCTGACGCTGCCCCACGGCATCCCCGGGACCCCCGCATCTGTCCTTGCATTCCCGGCTCTGCCCTGGAATCCCTGGCTTTGCCCTGGAATCCCCGGCTCTGCCCTGCAGTATCTCTGGCTCTGCCCTGCAGCGTCCCCGGATCTGCCCTGCAGCATCCCTGGCACTGCCCCGCGGCATCCCCGGCGCTGGCCCTTGCATCCCCAGACCTTCCCATAACAACCCCAGGATCCTGGCATCCAGGATTCTGCCCTTGCTTCCCCGGCGTTCCCGGCACTGGGCAGTGCATCCTTGGCACCCCCAATATCGCCGCCCGAGATCCCCAGACTCCCGATTCTGCCTTTGTATTCCCAGTTCTGCCCCATGGCAATCCCTGTCTCTGCCCTGCAACATCCCCAGCACTGCCCCACTGCATTCCTGCGACTCCCGGCTCTGCCTTGCATCCCCAGCACCGTCCCCTGCCACCCCAGCACTGCCGCCAGCATCCCCAGAATCTCCATGTCTGCCCTACATCAGCTCCAGCACTGTCCCCCGGCAACCCTGAGACTCCCCAGCTCTGTGACTGACACCCGCCCCCAGATCCACAGGCTCCCCATCCCCTGCTCCAGACACCACGCTGTTCCCCCGGCGCTGCCCTGCGGCAGCCCCCGCCTCATGCCGGGACTGCCCCTGGGATTGCCCCGCAGCATCGCTGGGGCTGCCCCGGGACTGTCCCAGCACCTCCAGAGCGCCCCGGGACCCCTCGGGACTGCTCCTCAGCACCCCTGGGACTGCCCCCTGCTCATTCTGGATAAACAAGCCTTTGCCCGAGCATCACCAGGCACAGCCCTCCCGGCCCCCTGAACCTCTCTCCCTTCGCATTTCTGCCTGCCGCAGAGACCCCCAGCAGCCTCTGGCCATGCTGCTCAGCGAATCCCCCTGCCACTTTACTGTCCCCCGGGATTCCGTGAGCACAGCTGTGTCCTGCCCCCCCCGTACTTCACCTCCTGCTGCAGAGACCCCAGCAGCATCTCCCCTGCTTCCACCCGGACCCAAAGAACTGCCCCCCTCTGCTGCCTGCACCCTGATCTGTCACCATCGATCCTCCACAATGCCTTGGGGACCCTTAAAAATGGCCCCCCCTTTTCCTGCAGCCCCCATCCCACCTGCTTGGGGGTGCTCCATAGGCAAACAGCCCTCCTTAAGCTGCAGGGATAGGGAGGGAGGGGAGAGCTCCCCCCCAGCTCCGATAGACCCCAGCCCCACGGGGGGGTGAGCTGCCTGCCCCACTGCCCCCTTTTGCAGTGCTGGAGGCTGGGTCTAGCAGCACCCCCGGGCTGATGGGGGATGGTTCTCCTTCGGTGGTGTTGGGGGGTCCATCTGCTCTCCCAGTCATTCTGGTGATGGGTTTGGGGGTTCTGGTTAATCCACCCCCAGGAGGGTGATGGGGGGGATCACTGATCACCCCAGCAGTGATTTGGGGTGGGGGTCTGCCCTGCACCCCCAGTGATGTTGATGGGAGGTCCCTGCCCAGGCGGTCACGGTGTGGGGTAGGGGAAGGTGTGAGTGTGAGTGTGTGTGTGTGTGTGTGTGTGTGTGTGTGTGTGTGTGTGTGTGTGCAGCTCCCTGGTGATGCTAACGGGGGTCTGTCCATCCTCCCACGACTGCTGCTGCTGCCGGGGAGGGGGCTGCCCACTGGGTGATGCTCAGAGGGGTCTCTCTGGAAGGTGACATGACGGGGGGCTCTCCAGCCCCCCATGGTGACGCTGATGGGGGTTGGTGCAGCCTGGGTGCTGCTGGGGGGCTGTGCGGCTCCCCCGGCCGTGCCGGTGCCGAGGGTGGGTGTCCTGCGCAGCCGGCGGTGCTGAGGGGGGTCTGGCTGCCACCCCCGCCGAGCCGGCGGTGCCCCCCCCGCTGGGTCATTACCCATTCCAGTCCTGTTGCTCTCATCAGCGCCTGCCGCAGAGAGGAGGGGGGGTCCTTCCTGGTCTATTCCTGCCCCCCCTTTCCCTAATCACCCATCCAGAGGCAGCCGGCTGGCTGCAGGGGGGACGCTGCCCCTACCCAAGCCGGGCAGGGGGGCGATCCCCCCCCTCCATCCCGACTGTACCCACCTGAACCCCCTTCGCCCCGCTGCCCGGCACCCGGGGGCACACCTGGAGCCGGGCGGGGGTGAGAGGGGCAGAGGCTGCCGCGTCCCCTCGCCCACGCGCCCCCCCTGTCCCCGCAGTGGTGATCGAGGATGACCGGATAGACGAGGTGCTCAAGGGCATGACGGAGAAGTCGCCGCCGGGGGTGTAAGCCGGGAGCCGCCGCCAGGACCCGCCGGGCGAGCCCCGCTCCGGCCCGCCGCCCCGCATGCTGGCTGGAGCGCCGTGGAGGAGGGGGAGGCCATGCCCGCCGCGCCCCCCGGCCCGGGGGGGGGCCCTGCCGCCACCACCACCCCCCCCCGAGCCATGCACTTTACCCCTCCGCCTCCCCCGGGGCCGGGACAAGCCGCCGAGCCCCCCACCCTGGGCGAAGACCCCCCTCCCCGGGGAAGGGGTGCGGCCCCCCGCTCCGCGGCGCGTCCCCCCAGCCCTCCGTGGCGGAGGGTCCCCGAATCGCGGGCCCAGCCGGCCCCATGAGCGGGGGGGGAGCGCTGCTGTCCAGAGACATTTTTTGCTCCATCGTTTTTTGCATGAGCTTGGTGGCCCGGGCGGCCGGCCCGGGGGCCGAGGGTCAGCCCCACCACTCCGGCACGCTTCTTTTTAAACAGAAACTCCTCATATTTGTATTTTTATATCCGAATCTTTGTTAAAAACGATCTGCTGACGTTGAGATGTCAAAGTAACTGCATCGAGAAAACAAACGAAAACAACCGACCAACCGACAACAACAACAAAAAAAAAGGTTCATATTTTTTTCCATAAGAAAAAAAAGACAAAAAAAGAAGAAAAAAACGAGGGCAAAAATTAAAAGGGGGGCGAGAGTGATGGAGGGAGCACGAGGAAAGCCACAGGAGGAGGGAGGGGAGCAGGGACCCCTGGCCCGACCCCCGCTGGCAGGCAGCAGGAGCACCGGAGAGTTTGGCAGCATCACCGGCTGCTGCAGTTCCTTCCCGAGCACCGGGCACAGCCCACCGGGGCCAGCTGCAGGTGCCGGGGGGTCCCAGCACTGCCCCTCGCCTGAGGGTGGTGGGGTCGGGGGAGAGTGGGGAGGGCAGGGACCGGCCTGAGTCGTTGTTTTTAATTTTGTACTTTAATTTAATTTTATTTTTTAAGAAGCTTCTCGGGGGGTTCTGATGTGCATGAGAAACTTGTCATCTTTTTCAATAACCTACGAGTGGCATTTATGGAGACAACGACGCAAAAAAAAAAAAAAACCCACAAAAAACTGAGGAAAAAAAGAAAAAAAAAAGAAAAAAAAAGATACTTGTGTCATGATGTTCTACGAATGATCCATTGTAAATTTAAATGCCATTTTTCACTGTACTGGTGAACAAAATGCAATGAATAAAATACATTCATGTACCCAGGTGAAGCCGGCAGTCGCCTGCTCCTTTCTGTCCCTTCCTCGTGCCAGCTGCTTTTTGGGGTGCCTGTGGGCTGGGGTGGCATGGCCAGGACGGGGGCTGACCCTGGAGCCCTTCTCGGGCTCCTGGTGCAGGGGGAGCTGCTGGCTGACCCACTTACACCTCCTGCCCGAAATAGCAGCCCAGAGCTCGCGCCTCGGTGGTGCCAGTGCCAGCAGGAGGGGTCCCTCCTGCCCACCCCAGAGTGCCCACAGAGCCTCTGGGGACACTGCCAGTGGCACCCATGCACCTGCCACGGCAGCACACAGGCACAGCCAGTCCCACAGCGCATGGTGGCCACCCGTCACCCGCCCTGGCACACACGTGTCACCGTGCTGCTGGCCCCAGGCTCAGGGGGACAGGGGCCAGGCGTGTGCAGCACACTGGGACTGTCACCACAGGCAGGAGTGGGCATGGATGGGGACAGAGGCAGATGTGCTGCCCTCCTGCCCTGTGGCACCGCCTGCCCCATGCTGGCACATGCCAGCCTGGACCCCCCGCTGCCTGGGGGGAGACAAGGACAAGGACACAGTGCCCTTGCACACCCCCGTGGCCAGGGAGGCTGGGGCAGGGGTCCTGGTGCAGGATGGGGTGGGGGGGGTGGAGCAGTGGCACCCCCAATCCCAGTGCCAGCACCCCCATTCTGCCCTCAGCCCGGCTGGCCGTGCCAAGGGGAAGGGATGGGGGACAGGGAGCCACTCCCTGCAAGATGGATGGGTGAAATTAAACCCGCTTTGGTTTCATTACTGCCTGCAAAGCCTGGAGTCCTGGCTGCTCTCCAGCTCAGCAAGGAAAGGCCAGGGAGGGGGCACAGAATCACCAGAGCATCCCTGTTCCCCTGGAGGAGGCCAAGTATCCCCCTCTTTCCTCCCATTACCCCCATCACCGGGCAGCTTGCAGGGGGACGCAGCGGTTCCCTGCCTCCCACCCATGAGCATGGAGCATCTTAAGGCTTTATTGGGTGGGGGGAGGCTGGGAAAGCCCCCTGGCTCACAGCTGGATGGCGAGCAGGTAGTCCTCGTCGTCGTCCGGGGGCGCGGGGGGCGGCGGCGGGGCGGGGGCCGGGGGGGGCTGGTGCAGCCGGCGCCCCAGGGCCGCGTCGCGGGGGTCCAGGGGCTGTCCCTTGCGCATGGTGTACAGGAAGTAGTGCAGGGCACCGTCCCCGTCCCCGCAGGCGGCGTGGCGCAGCGACCAGCCAAAGGCCTCCTGGGCATAGTGGGGCTTGCGGAAGTGGGGCTGCGCGAAGGTGATGGAGATGAAGCAGCCCCCTGGGCGCAGCACCCGGCTCACCTGCGGCAGGAGAAGCCCCAGGAGAACCCCACAGTGAGGTTCACTGCTTTGGCTCCCTTCCCAGGGAGACCCCTCCCTGCCTTTCCCATCACGCCCCCCCAAATCTCTTGTCCTAACCTTGAACCCCCCCAAGAGACACCCTGGGTCTGATCTGCCCCCAGACCACCCACAGGGTGGGGCAATCAGGAACAGGGGTCCCCATGCTCCACCTCTCCCTGCACCCCAAAACTCTTCACTCCCACCCACAGCAGACAGCGTAGAGACCCAACTCCAGCATGGGAAAAGCTTCACCCTTTGGAGCACAGGGCCCCCCCAGGCACAGCAGGGGACATCCATCCCACCCACCCCTCCCCAGACCACCCAGTACTACCACCAACACCCAGAATCAGAGGGGGATGCGGGGGGTGGGAAAGGACTCAACCCTTTTAATCACCATTTTCTCCCTGCTGGAATTAAGCCCCGCTAACAGGATGGAAAAGAACATCAATTTTCCTGCTTGGCTTTATCCAATGTCAAAAGGCTTTTACGGCCAGCGCCCGCGTGCTCAGCATGCAAAGGCAGTGCCCGGGGCGGGCGGGCGTCCAGCCCCCTCCCCGGCACCCTGCCCCAGGCAGGGACACCCCCAGACCCCCCCGGCAAGGGCACAGAGTCACCGCTGCAGGGGACAGGGCTGGAGGCCAAGGGGGGGTTTCCCGAGCTCTGGTTTAATCCTGCTGGGAAGCTCCAGCTGGGGAGCTCTGGCTGGGGCCGGTGGAGGGGACAGGCAGCCTGCGTGTCCTCCCCTGCTGCGGCGGTGGCTTTTGAACCAAACCCTACCGGTTTTGGCCAGGAAAAGGGGAAGGCAAGTCCCTACATCCCTCTCTGGGCACCCGGCTCAGTATCCCTCCTGCTAAGCTTTTGAAAATCAGCCCTGGGAAGACCCCACAGCTTCCCAAGCTACGGGCGGGGAGGGGGTCCCCGGAGGTGGGGGCAGGCAGGGATCTCCGGCTGGAACTGAGCGAGGCATCCCGCATGTCCACATCCCATCCCTCGTTAATAGAGCAATAATGGCCGTTGCCTGGAGACGAGCGCAGGAAACCTTCCCATCAGGAAAGCTTCCCATCCGTCAGCGGGAGCAGGGGGGCCGAGGGGGCTGCTGCCCGCTCCCGCCACACCCGCTGTCCCCAGCTCCTGGGACAGGGTGTCCCTGGGGTGTCCCCACAGGCAGGGCGGATTTTCAGGTCCTTACATGCCCCCGGGAGAGGAAGAGGCTGTGAACCCCCCAGTGAAGGGGGATGAGGGTGGGGAGGGAGGTACCACACACAGACCCCTCTGAAGGGACTTCCAAGGCAGGGAGCAAGTGGGAACACCCAGCGAATCCCCCTGGGGATGAGGACAGCAGGGACCGGCTGCGGGTGGAAGCTGGTACCCAGCGATGCTGGGGGAGGGCAGGGATTGAGCAGAGGATTAAAAAGGGAAAAAAAAAAGGGAAAATTAAATCCCTGCCGTTTGGCAAAATGACAAGGACAGGCAGCAGCGCTGGCAAGGAGGGCAGGCACAGATAGCGAGCACAGCCCCACTGCCCTGCCGGGGGTTGCACTCCCTCACAGGCTCAGCCAGGCAAGAGAGGATCGGGAGGGCTGTCAACAGCCATGAGCACCCTCCCAGCACCCTGTGCCTGCAAGCCCAGGGTGCCAGGGAGGTGCAGCAATTAATTATCCTGGCAGTTATTCCCGCAGGGTGGGAGAGGCTGCCAGGACCCGCACCCCCGCGCCGGGACAGGTTCAATCCGGTCCCGCCGCCAATTAACAGGGCCCCGAGGCATCACCCGTCCCCGTGGCAACGCCACGGCCCTGTCGATGCTGATGGGAGTTGCCATGGCAACACCAGACCAGATGATGGGGACCCCGGCTAAGGCGATCGAAGCTGGGCCAGGGGGGGTGGGCAGAGCTCTCTCAGCCCCACGGTCATCACCTTGCCCTGGGCAGGCAGAGCCACCTCGGGGCCACCTCGGTGCGTCCCCCTGGGTCCCCTGCAGCCACCCACGCCAGGATGGGGCCCATTTTTCCGGCCAACTCTTTGTATTTAGCATGCAGATAAAGAGAGGGGTCACCCACTCCCCCAGCAGGACCCAGGGACACATCCTGCTCCATCCACCTCCCTGGGGAGGAAATGCTGGGCTGCAGGAGGGGGCAGTCTGCCACCCCCAGGAGTGCTGGGAGCTGCAGCCCAGCTGAGGGGCAGCACCGGCTGGGAGCACAGAAACACCCACAGGGAAGCAGGGCGGTGAGGAGGCACTCAGCACCTTCCCCACCCCCAGGGGGGACGGGGTCCACCCTCTGCCCCCCCGCCCCGTACCTCCGCCAGCGCGCGGCGCATCGCGGCGGCCGCCTGGGGCGAGACGCGCCACGGGTCGGTTTCCTCCACCATGAACACGTCGAGGGTGCCCTTCTCCAGCACGACGTCGAAGGAGGCGTCGGGGAAGGCGAGGGCGCGGATGTCCATGACGGCCCAGCGCAGGCCGGGGCAGCGGGCGTGGCGGGCGCGCATGGCCGCGATGCAGGCGGGCGAGAAGTCGATGCTGGTGACGTCGGTGTAGCCCAGCTCGTGCAGGTCGTGGCTCAGGGCGCTGTTGCCACAGCCTGTGTGTGGGGCACAGCTCACACAGGGCTCGGGGTGGTGCTGGCACCCCTGCTCTGTCCCCGCGGTGCAGGGGAGGGTGCGGGTGGGCTGGGGCTGCTGGGGAGGGGCAGTCATGGCTTCAACGCCAATTAATGAGTGTTGGGCTAGGCACTAATTACCCCTGTCCTGCCAGGTGGGTGCTTTGGGCTCCTGTCCTGGGGCAGCGCTGCACACCTGATCCCCGCACCTTGGGGTGGGAGGCGTGGGGAGGCTGGAGGCAGGAAAGAGGCAGGGGGCACCCCCAGTTATCCCTCCCGCGGTGCTGGGGGGCAGGAGCCAGCCGTGGTCCCAAGAGCCTGCTGGATAACTCCAGTGGGAATTAGGGAACTTCGGCGGGGGGGTTAACCGGCTCTGATGGCGAGAGGGATGGAAGAACTGGTGTTTCAACAGGACACGGGGAGACACGTCCTGTCCGCTATCAAGCCCTCCCCTCGGAGCCGCTCCACCGGGGCTCGGCCGCTCACCGGGGGGGAGAGTGGGTTCTCGGGGAGGGGGGCGGATTTGGGGGCTATTAAACGCAGCTGGCAGCGGCTGATCCGCTAACAGGATCGGTGATTACACCCGCCTAATCCCGCCGGCGGATCAGACCGCAGGTGGCATCACGGGGCGGCTACACCCGCCCCGCCGCCCGCCAGCAGCCCCGGCACTGGGGCCCCCCCGCCGGGCCGGGCTGGGCGCAGCTCCCGGTACCGGCCCGGTGCCACACCGCCCCCTGGCGGCCAATGCCAGCGCTTCCACCGGCGGGCCCCCGAGCCCCGCCCGCCCGCCCTCCACCGGGCACGCCGGGCACGGGGCACGTACCGAGGACGAGGATGCGGTCACCGGGGCGCAGTTCGGGCTCCAGCTGCGGGAGAAAGCGGGAGAGCCCCCCCAGCCACTCGCGGGTCTCGGCGCCCTCCCGCCGGTAGAGCGAGTCCCAGAACCGGCGCCGCCCGTAGCGGGGGGGCGCGGCGGGCGCGCGCCGCCGCTCCATGCGGGAGCTGCGGGGCGGGAGCACCGGGCGCCACGTGCCGCCCGCGCCCCACGTGCGCCTTCCGGGCCGCGCCGGTGCGCCGCGCTCAGCGCTCCGGGCGGAAACGCGGAGCGGAATGGCGGCGGGGCGGGGGGCGGCGGCGCTGCGGCGGGCATGGCGGGGGGGGGGGGGGGGGGGGGGGNNNNATGGCGGGAGCGGCGGGCGGCGCTGCTGGAGCCCCGCTACACGCCGCTGGTGGCCGCCTGCCTCTGCCTGGCCGAGGGCGGCGTCAACCTCTGGGTCATCCGCAGGGTCCCCTGTGAGTGCCGGGGCCCGGCCCGGCGCGGCGCTGCCTTGGGCTGACCGCGGGGATGGCGGTGCGGGGACGGGGGCGGCTCGGCCCCGGCGTGGGAGGGATGGCGGGGCTTGTCCCGGGGCAGCGCGGGGGCGGGATGCCGGGGCACGGGGACAGTCCGGCCCCTCGGGTGACGGCATCCCGGGCAGGGGGACGTGGCCGGGCCCAGCGGGGACGCGGGGCTGGGCCGGGGCTCCGGGATGCGGCCGGCAGGGAAGAGCCGCGCTGACAGCGTGCCAGGGTCGGGCCGGCGGGCCTGGAGGTGGGTCAGCCCCCACAGCCCCGGCAGTGTCCCCCGAGCCCCGGCTGACGCCGCCGTCCGCAGACACCGAGATCGACTGGCAGGCCTACATGCAGGAGGTGGAGGGCTTCGCCAACGGCACCCTGGACTACACGCAGCTGCGGGGCGACACCGGGCCGCTCGTGTGAGTGACGGGGATCCTTGCCCGGCGGCTCCCGGGGCCGCGGGCCCGGCCCCTCACTGCTGCTCCCCACAGCTACCCCGCCGGCTTCGTGTACATCTTCCTGGGGCTGTACCACGCCACGGGCCGCGGCTCCGACATCCGCCTGGCGCAGTACCTCTTCGCCGGCCTCTACCTCCTCAACCTGCTGCTCGTCTTCCGCATCTACTGCCGAACCAGCAAGGTACCCTGAGGCCAGGGCTCCTGCCGGCCCCCTCGGGACCTGCCCTGCAGGGCTCTGCTGAGCCCTCACCCCGGCAGGACAGACCCAGGCTCAGGGCTGGGGTGTGGAGGAGCTCAGCAGCAGCAGCAGCAGGCAGTCCAGGACAGGCTGCTGATGACCCTCTTGTGTTTCTGTCCCCTGCAAGGTCCCTCCGTATGTTTTCTTCTTCATGTGCTGCGCCTCATACCGCATCCACTCCATCTTTGTGCTGCGGCTCTTTAATGACCCTGTGGCCATGGCCATCCTCTTCCTCGCCATCAACCTCTTCCTGGAGGAGCGCTGGTCCTGGGGCTGCCTCCTCTTCAGGTGAGGGGCTGGGAGCTGCTGGGTGCTGGGTGCGAGAGCCAGCTCAGCCCCAGGGGCTGCCTGGGCTCCCGTGTGGGCTCCGCAGTGGTAATGCAGCTTCCTGCTCAGCCTGGCTGTGTCCGTGAAGATGAACATCCTGCTCTTCGCCCCTGGGCTCCTCTTTCTCCTCCTGCAGCGGTTTGGTCTCCTGGGCTGTATCCCCAAGCTCTGCATCTGTGCCCTGCTCCAGGTGGGTCCCTGTTTGTGCCAGTGCAGCAGCAGGGAATAGTGGGCTGCCCTGCCAGGCTGCAGAGCTGTGGGTGGAAACAGTGGGACCAGCATCTGTGGCCTCTCACAGCAAGCTGGTGTTGATAAATAATCTAACTCTTGTGACTTTCATCTTGGGCTGACTGTCCCTGTCACCACACGTGGCACTGGGCTTCTCAGGAGGTAGCTGGGCTAACAGTGACCTGGTGCAGGGCTCTGTGATGGTGCTGGTGTGTCCCTGGCAGGTGGTGCTGGGCCTGCCCTTCCTGCTGGTGAACCCCGTGGGGTACCTGACCCGCTCCTTTGACCTGGGCCGCCAGTTCCAGTTTAAATGGACGGTGAACTGGCGCTTCCTCCCAGAAGAGGTTTTCCAGAATCGAGTCTTCCATGCTGCTCTGCTCCTGGCTCACCTGGCAGGCCTGGGGCTCTTTGCACTGCACCGGTGGCACAGGTGAGACCTGGGGTTCCCCATGGGTGTTGATCCCTGCAATCCCATGTGCAGGAACAGATCCATGACCACCTACAGTGCTGCAGTGCTGGGATTGCAGGTGTGAGTTGGAGGGCAGTTACTGTTCTCTTTTGGGGAATGTAAGGCCCAGGCATTGTGTCTCACAGGGGAACACTGGGGTGGGAGAGACTTTCAGCAGCTGAGATCAATGTTTGTTCTTCCCTCTCAGTTCCAAAGAGAGCATCCTGACTCTGTTGAAGGATCCTGCCAAAAGGAAACCCGCATCCCCTCGCTTGACTGTGAACAATATCCTTTGGCAGGATGGGCAGCAAGGAGAGAGGGAGAAGGCAGGGCAGGGACAAACCTGGCTGGGTCCAGGTCATGCAGTGCTGCTGTACCAGCCTGCCCTGGGCAAAGGAGCTGTGCTGGGGAGCTGTTGTGGGACCACACCTCCAGCCTGCTGTGTTTGCCCCCTTAATGCCAGTGCATGGATTGTCTTCATCCTCTTCTCCTCCAACTTCCTGGGTGTCTGCTGCAGCCGCTCCCTGCACTACCAGTTCTACGTCTGGTATTTCCACACTCTGCCCTACTTGCTCTGGTGCACCCCAACCACCAAGCTCGCCCACATGCCCAAGTACGTGCTGGCAGGGAGGGGAGCACCCACCTGCTGGGGGTCTGGGGGTATGGGTGGCTGCTGTGTCCCCCAGGCTGACCCCCAGCCTTCCCCCTGCACAGGGTGCTGCTGCTGGGCGTGATCGAGCTCTGCTGGAACACCTACCCCTCCACAGTCTGCAGCTCCCTCTCCCTGCACGTCTGCCATGGACTCATCCTGCTCCAGCTCTGGTACGGCACAGCCCCCACGCCAGTGTCACACACCCCTCCACAGAGCAGGAAACCCACAGCAGTGTCCAAGAAAGCCCAGTGAGAGTGGGGATGGCTGGCCAGTGGGAACTGGCCTCTGGAGCTGCCCCATCTGCCTGCTCTTTTCCCACTTGACTCCCAGGCTGCCCACAGCAATCCCAAGAGGGCCATGAGCCCTGGAACTGTGCAAAGGGGGCAGGTGTGGGGAATCCCAAAAGGCAGAACTTCCCAAATAAAGGGGGCTTTGTGTGCCCTTCCCCAAAATCCTTGTCCTGTGATGATGTCAGAACAGCTGTCCCTGGACTTGCTGCACCTGAGGGAAGGCAGAGCATCTTTTAGAGCCATGAGCACTCTCGCTTCCCAGCTGTAGGAAAGGGGTGCCCAGGGCTAGGCAGCAGCCTCTGGGGTGAGGTTAGAAGAGAGGAGTTGCAAAACTGCTTTGCCTCAAGGCTTCATTTGCTTTGATGGGACCCAGGAGTCCCTCCAGTACAATTTTTCCTGTTCCCCTGCCCGCTCCCTCCCACCAGAGATGGCTGGGAAGGGGGTGACCCCCTCCTAGGAGGCTGGTGAGTCCTGGCATGGCCTGAGTGGAGCCAGCAGCTCTCTGCTGATAACAGAGACACCAGTGCAGGTGGCTTGGAGCCAGGTGTCTTTATTGGCCCCTTGGGCGGCCGTCAGACGTTGTTGGGGTTGTAGCACAGCATGTTCAGCTTGATGTTCTCGTCCCAGTGACGCAGCAGCAGGAACAAGTGCCTGGCTGCCCCTTTGAGGCAGCCCACGTCCACCCCCTCGGGCAGGCGCTGTGCCTGCAGCCACGCGTCCGCCTTGGCTGCCACCAGCTCCCACTCCTCAAAGAACCCCGCGCAGCGATGCTCCAGCCACGCCAAGGCCACCGCCGTGGCCCAGCTGGCGCTCTCCAGATCCTCTGGCCCCACGTCCTGACAGCTGACTCCGGCCTCAGAGGGGGCAGCCGAGTGGGGCCCGGTGTCGGACTCGGAGCCGTGCCCGCTGTCCGGCTGCGCCCACGCGGCTGCGCTGGGCACCTCGGAGCACGTGCTGCGGGACGGGGGCGAGCTGGGCTGCGGGGCCGTGATGGGCTCCTCGCCCTCCTCAGCCCCGGGCCCTGCCTCAGGCATGCTCCTGGCCCCTGGGGACACGGGGCTGAGGCTGGCACGGTGGGAGGCGTAGGGGGAGGCGCGGCGCAGGCGGTCCAGGGGGATCTGCACCACTTCAGAGAAGCTCTCGGTGAGCTGGAACGGCCCCCGGGCTTGCTGCAGCTGCACCTGCAAGGAGGGGACACAAACGAGCATGGGGGGCAGGCAGGGGTGCAGACCACCACAGCACCAAACACTGGGGGCTGCAGGAGTGTCCCTGGGGCACAGGGACAGTAATAACCCCCAAAAAGCCAACCAAGATCCCCAGAGACATTTAAAGACACAGCAGGGCTGAGCAGGCACCTACTGGGAGCATCTTCCATTGCTCGTGCTGCTGGGCACGACCTGGGTGGCTCAGCTGGCCCCCAGCAGGGCAGGTCCCCCCTGGGATGGGGACAGGGGACAGGCAGCAGGTCCTTACCAGCGGGAGGTAGTCGTGGCTGGCGTGGTTGCTGGAGCGCTCGCTGTCTGGGCTGAGGCACTGCGGGCGCAGCACCAGGCTGGGGCCCCTGCGCCTGCTCAGGCTAAACCTGCGGGGTCACAGGCAAGAGAACAGGATTGGGGGGAATTCCTGAAAGGCAGCTGGACACCACACTGCTGCAGGGAAGGGGCTGGAGCGCCAAATCCCCCCTCCAGTTATGCAGCAGGAGCTGGCACAGGACAAGGGACCAGCAGCTCCCAAAAAGTGACACTGTCCCCCTCTCCGCACAACATGCCATTTTTTGGCCCCTTGCATCCCTCCATCCCACAGTGTCACCTGGAGCCTGTGATGCTCTCTGTGGATTTCTGGGAGCCCATGGAGGTGGTGGAGGGGCTGGATGGAGGCCCTGCAAGGGGGAAGAGTTTAGTGAGAACATGATGCACCCAGAGGTGTGTCCCACTGCCCAGTAGCTGGGAGGGCAGCTCAGCCCATGTGCCCAGGGTACTGAGGACACAGTGGATGCTCCAGCTGTGGAGGGTACCCCATCTCCCACCCTCATCCAGCCCTTGTTCCCCTCCAGCCTGGACACACCGTTTGAGTAGTTCTGCCTTTCCCAGCCAAAGGTAGGGGAGGAGATGCTGCCTGGAGACCTGGCAATCCCGTCTCGCTCTGCAAAAGAGCAAAATCTTGTGGGGCCCCAGGCTTCAGGGACCAGGGACCCTCACAGCTGCTCTCAGGGGCTGCTGTGCTGTCCTCCCACACCCCTCCCCAGTATGGGGCAGATGCCTCTTTCCAGATACCCACAGCACCCTAGGCAGGACCAGCCCCACACTGCCACCAGCTGAGGGTCTCCAGAGACCCCAGTGCAGATCCCTGGGGAGCACAAGTTGACATAAAGGTCTGAGTCAGTACCTGCAGTGCCAGGGGCCTCATGCTGCTCCTCCACACCCTGCTGCTGCCCCTGACCCGCTGAGGAGCTCCGGTGGTGCCAGCTCCCTGCTGCCGCAGCTCGTGTCCGGCTGCCTGAGCCAGCTGCAAGGGATGATGCCACCTCAACCCTGTCCCCTTGCTGTCCCCTCTCCCTCTCAGCAGGCCCTTGTCCATACCTATGCCCCACACCTCGGGGGCTGCAGGCAGGGCTGCCTGCGTGGCACCGTCCACGGGCACCAGGCGGGTGTAGAGGGAAGGCATGTTGCAGGCTTTGCTGGTTTGCACGGCTTTCAGGCGGAACCGGCGGGCAAAACCTGCCCGGAGCAACGGGGGGATGCTGGAGCTGCCCTGGGGAGTGGCACCAGCACCCCCCTGCTCCAGCACCCCCCCTGCTCCAGCACCCACCCTGCTCCAGCACCCCCCCTGCTCCAGCTTGGCTTCCCGCTGTGCCACGCTCTCGTTGTCCCGCACCACGGAGCGCGCTGCCAGGCGATGCAGGGGCTTGTCCCAGGCCTTGGCCACTCTCCGCGGCGGGTCCTCCCTGCCCGGCCCCTCCCGGGGCTGCAGCAGTGACTCCAGCGAGGCTGTCACTTCCCAGGACACGGGCTTGCCGGCTCGCAGCGCGTGGATCACCACCTGGCAGCGCAGGGGCACGCTGGCATCACCCAGGCTGGGCTGCCCTGGCTCGGGCGCTGGCGAGGCACTGAAGAGGTAGGAGGGCTCCACCAGCATGTCCCAGTCCAGGTGGGTGGGTGAGAGGAGGTTATCTGGGCACGGGCAAAGGCTGGGCTCAGCAAGGCGGGGGCACCTGGCTCCCCCCCACCGCCCTCGTCCCCAGAGCCAGCACACACTTGACTCCACTGCACCGGGCTGCATTTGCCGTGGCTGGGGTCCCAGCTCATCCAGCCGCCCCTCCAGGGACTGGTTCCTCTTCTGGGACACCTTTTCCAGGGCCTGGCAGAGCCGATGGGCATCCAGCTCCCCGTGGGGCGTGGAGAAGCTGCGCCCAGCCAGGGCAGCACGTGCCAGCACCTTCTTCTGCCGCGCCAGCTCCTCTGTGCTCAGGGCCACCGTCACCTGTGGTGGGGACGAGGCTGTGGGCGAGCTCAGCACGGGCCCAGATTGCCCTGGGCTGCCATGGGGCTCCTGCACCTCTCCTGCTGCTGGCTGGAGCCTCGGCTGTCGTCAGCCCCAGTGCTCTGCAGGCTGGCACCAGCTACTTCCCAGGGATGCTGCCCTGGCACGATAGGCACGGGAAGCACCCACACAGGAGTTTGCAAACATCCCTGGGGACTGACTCAGGCTGATGCTGGAGCTGCCAGGGATTTGTGTGTGTGTGGAAGTGAGGCTAACTAGGATACTCAGGCTGGATGATGTTACAGTGGGATGCATTCCCCAGTGCAGAGTGGCCTCCCTGCATTGAGATGCTTCCCCTAAAAGCCACGTCAGGGCAATGGCACCCATGCCACCTCTCGCCCCGGCAGCAGGGAGCTGGGAGGATCATTTACTCTGCAGGGAAATCACTTACGCTTGACATTTCAGCAGCAAAGGGCACCAGCTGTGCTGCTGTGTGACAGGAGTGGGTTACCTAAGCCGTGCCACTGGGAAGGAGCGTGTCCTGGTGCTGGGTGACAGCTGGCCTCACCAAGCTTGGGGCCATCATCACCGGGGCAGCTGCCTTCCCCCACCCCAGAGACCCAGCTGGGTTTTAAACCCAGGTATGAAGCAGCAGGACTGTGGCCCATTGCTGATGAAGTGTCTGGCAGTGTTGGCTGAGGGCTGCAGGAGCCAGGCTGAAGCCCAGCCAGCCAGCCTTTCTTCTCTGGCTCAACAGATTTGTTACGTGACGCCAGCCCAGCTATTTTCATTTGGTTTCTGCAGCTTTAAGGCGTCACTGACCTGGCGCAGGGGTCTGTTAGACACTCAGCTGACTGCTGGCTAGGGACACTGAGGAAACAGCTGCTTGGTCCCCAGCTGTCCCACTTCAGTAGGGCAAAACCACCCAGGAACATCCTCATGGCATCCATTGCTTATCCTTGCTTAAAATTCAGGCTGCCGCACTCTGTTTCCCAGCCCAGTGGGCAGATGCCTGGGCACAACAGGGCAGCGAGGCTCCAGCTAAGCCATGAACAACCCCCAGTCCATGAGCCCCTGCACCCATTGGCACCCTTACCTTGGTGCCAGCTGGGGCAGAGGGCAGCGGGGCAGATTTGGTGGAGGACTCGCAGAGGGACAGGCTCTTCTGGCCCTGCTGGGAGGTGACATCAGCACCAGGGGCTGAGGAGCCACCCTCGGGGGCCACATCCCGGGAACCGGTGGACTCGCTGCTGGTGGAGCTGCGGGAGAGCAGCCCCTGGCTGCGGTCAGTGCTGACAGAGCAGTGTGTCAGGACATACTGCTCCTGGATGTACGAGGGCTGGTAAATCCGCTTCCAGATGTCTCCCCCAGAAACAGGATCACCACCTGCCCGGTGAGCACACAGCCTGTTAGCCCATGGCTCCCATGCCTGCCCCCTGCCCCAGCTCTGCACCCCACTCACTCCGCTCTGACACCTCTGTACTTCCAGAAAAAACATCCAGGGAGGCATCCCCCGTTCCTGGGTTGCTCTGGCGTGGCTGATGGCTCTCTGCAGGACTGAGCACTTCCTGCTGGGAGAGGAAGGCTGAACCCCGGAGGCTCTGGCGAGCCCCATCCTGGCCCTAGGAGAGAGAGGAGAGCACCATCAGCCCCCAGCTGGGGGACAGCCATAGCACAGGGACCACGCCACCCCCCAGGCAGCGCCAGCCGTACCAGCGGGCGCCTGTCCCCGAAGTGGGCGATGCTGTAGAGGACGCAGTAGCTGACGAGGCGGTCACCGGGGTAGAGGGCCGGGAGCTCGGCGGGCGAGAGCAGGGCCTCCATGCTGTCGGGGACGTACCAGTCGATGGTGATGTCGCTGATGGCCGGCTCGATCGCCTTCTTCAGGGACTTGATCAGCTGGGGTGGGGAGAGGGGACAGTGTCACACGTGGCGGTGTCCCCGTGCCCCCTGCCCCTGCCTGGGTCTTACCTTGGGCTGCAGCCTCTCGGCCGGGCTCAGGAACTCAGCACGGCCCCGGCTCACCTTGGCCATGGCCTTCAGCAGCCGCCGGCACGCCCGCGGGCCCATGCCAAAGCTGAAGCACCTGCGGGACATCCAGGGGATGGAAAGCCATGGCTGGGCTGGGGCTGGGGGCTGGCAAAGCCAGCGGTGAGCCCTTCAGCAGGGATGGGCAGGGGGATCTGACAGCCAGAGTGCTGCCCTGGCTCTGCGCTGGGCTGGGGCACCCCAGGAAGAGCTGAGAGCTGAGGGATGCGATGGGGGAAGCACACCCTTGGGGCAGGCACAGTAAGATTTGCGGCTGCACAAGGAGAAATCAGTGGGAACAGCGCGGGGGATTTAGGGAACACCGAGAGCTGCCGGGGCCGGTGCCGTACCTGACGGTGCTGGCCTGCCTGCGCACCAGCCGGAGGATCCTGCTTGCGTTGCCCGCTGCTGCTCCGGTGAAGAGGAACAGCTGGCGAGGGTAGCCGTGGTGCAGGGGCTGTGCCAGCGCCCAGCCCAGGGCTGCCAGCAGGTTGGTGCCACCAGGGTCTGCCCGCAGGCCGCCGAGGTGCTCGCAGGCACGCCGCAACGTCTCCTGCCAGCACAAAGAGCCGGCCCTGCAGCGGTGCCCTGGCTCACCAGCCCCCACCCCAAGTCAAGGAGCTGGGAGGAGGACAGAGAGGGGTTAGTGGATCCCCAGGATTTGCCCGTGGTGCTCACGTTGCTGCAGAGGCGACTGGATGGGAAGAGTGGCTTGACGTCGGTGCCGAAGCTGGCGAGGTTGAGCAGCGTTCCTGACGGGAGGCTCTTCAGGGCCACCAGCAAAGCCTCCTGAGGTGACAGCAGGGACCAGGGACAGCTGCTAAGGGCTGGCCATGCAGGGACCCCCCTGGACCCATGGCCGTGCCTCACCTTGACCTTGTCAAGGTCAGGGCCGCTGATGGAGTCGCTGCGGTCGATGAGGAAGAGGAGCTCGCGGGTGACGCTCTGCAGGTCCGCGGGGACGCCCTCCACAGCCGGGCAGAAGTTCAGCATCAGCACGGGGTTGGGGAAGATGTCTTTGTGGAAACGCTTCTGTACGAAAGCCACCTGCGAGCCAGGCGGGTCAGAGCTTCCTCACACCCTCCGGACCGCAGCAAGGTCTGCCTCACCCCCACCCCACCACCTCCCCTTCCTCCTCCTGGCGGGGCAGCAGGAGCTCTGCCCTGTCACCTGTCTCTCGCCACTGCTGTCCTTCCTGGCAATCCTCACGTAATCCCGGCGGTTCCGGATGTGCGCCTCGTACTCGGGGTACGTCATGGTGCCATCCTCAATCACCAGGTGGGGGCTGTGGGGCTCTGGGGGGCACAGGAGAGTTTCGAGCTACCCTGTGCTGCAAGGGGCTGGGGGATGCTCTGGATGTTTCTGGGGTGATGCTCAAACTCTCCAAGGGCACCATCTTCTCTCACCACAAGGGTAGAGGATGATCTCCAGGTCCCTGTCATAGCGGTGGGGCTCGGCTAGGGTGACACAGGTGGTGGTGGCAGAATTGGCCCAGGGGTCGGCGTCAGCTCTCAGGGCATGTGAGGGGCTCTCCAGCCCTGCAAAGAAGGGAAGGCAGCAGGTCAGTCCCCCCCCAAAGCCCCTCCTCAGCCCCCCACCCACCAGACCCCACAGCAGTGGCTTGTTCCTGACAGAGCTAATGGGATTGACTGGGCCAGCAGCAAAAAGCACATCCCCACCAACAATCCATGTTCCCCTCCTGACCCACGCTCTCCACAGTGCATCACATCACCCCAGGGAAGGAGGCTGCTGACCTAGAGCTGCCCAAAGGCACAGGCAGGGTGACTTTGAGGGGTCCCAGACCCAGGGATGGAATGGGAAAAGGGATTCTTCACCTGGAGGAAGGGCAAGAGGATGCCCAGGAACAGGCCCTCACATCCTCCTAGAAGGGAGGGACCAGGGAACATCACCCACATTTTGAGAAGGTTTTACACAACCAGCTGATAACACCCAGCCACACCCCCTACCTGCCAGCAAGCAGGGGCCCTTCACCAGCAGCTCGAAGGAGAACTCGTAAGGAAAAGGGTTGCAGGGCCGTCCCCGAAAGACATCCACGCTGTCCACAGGCACCACAGTGGGTGACTGGCTCCGGGCACCTGGCCCCCCAAAACAGCTTGTGGGGCTGCAAGGGGAGAGGGGGTGATGGCTCCTGCCCCCCGGCCGGCTGGCCCAGCGTTGGCATCGCCCCCCGGGATGGCAGAGACTGAGGAAGCCATGAAAATCACCATAGGGCCAACCTGTCGTCACACAAGCTTGCCGGCTCGCTCTCGGGGTCGGCGGGGACGTGGGGTGTGAGCACGGGGGGCAGGAGCAGGCGCAGGGCCCCGTCTGGCAGCGTGGGCAGCTCCTGCACTGTGTTCAGGGTGACAGCCAGGCTCTCCGATGGGCACAGTGTGCCCGTGACGATGATGAAGGTGGAGCGCTCCACGTCCTCATCCAAGACAAGGTGGCCTGGGCCAGAGAGGGAGGAGGGATGGGGGGAGGTCAGTGAGGCATGTGGGCTTGTGGAGGAGGTCATTAGTGTCCCTAATGGCTCCCAAAGGTGACAGCAGAGCACAGGTGTCCCAAAGGCTGTGCCCATGATGGCAGAGCCCCAGAAGAGCTGCAGGGAGGGGAAAGGAGACATTGAGATCTCCAGCCCCAGAGACCCCACCTAGGGAGCACTGGGGTGGCCTGGCAGGGGCTCTCAGCCCCTCGTACCCCCCACACTTCCCCCTGCCCGTTCTGAGCCTCCTGGCCAGGAGCAGCAGCACCCAGGGCAGGGCACCTACCGCTGGCACAGCGGCGCAGGCGCCCGGGGCTGGGGCTGCACTGCAGGCAGCAGTCCTGCACCCGGTGCCGGTTCTGGAGCTGGAACGTCACCCGCCGGCTGCCCACTGCCGCCTCAAAGCCAGCCACCACCTCCGACTCCTCCAGCGGGTAGATGAAGATGCCTGCAGGCAGAGAGAGCCCCGAGGCAGAGCAGGCACGGCCACTGCTGCACGAACAGCCCAGGGGAGCCCTGCTGAGAACCTGTCTGACTCACAGCACGCCAGTGAGACACAGGAGCCACCCAGAGCGAGGATGAAACCCTCCTCTTCCTCTGTGCTGGCAATCTGTTTGCTCGGTCTCACTCTCCTCCTGCCCACAGCGTGTGACAGTGGCCCCACCGCTGCTGGCCTCTGTCTTTGCTCCCCAGACTGAGCAAGGTTTGGGGATCAGGACACAGATGGGCTGGAGACAGGATGCTCTCCAGCACAGGAGCTTTCAGGGGGCCGTGCAGGCCCTGCCACACCTGATTGCCCTCCCTTACCTTCCACGGGCTCCTTGTGGGGGTTGGTGTACGTGAGGTGGGCAGTGATGCTCAGGGAGTACCCGTTGGCACAAGCCTTCACCGTGGAGCTCTTCAGGGGCAGAGCCTCCCAGGACAGGAGGGAGTAGAGGCCTGGCATGGTCCCTCAGGGGGCAGCTGTGAGCAGAGGGAAGGAAGGCACTGGATGCCCAGGGACAGGGTCTGCTGGAAGGGGCTTCTGCCCACAAGACATTTACACCTCCCCAGCCTGCGAGAGGGAGCAGGTCCCCAGCCCTCCCACATCCCAGGCTGCTCTTCAGCATGCACAGAACACATGGACCTGGACCCAGGTCTCTCTCCTTGGACCCCAGCCCACCTGCAAACCAGGTCTGGAGCCACAGGAGCCCACAGAGAGGGCAACAAAACTCCTGTGGGCAGTGGTCACATGCGAGCCACAAGTCCTGGCAGACAAATGGAGACTCCTGAACAGAATAGATAATGGCCAATGTCATGCAGCCCATCTCTCAGCCACCCCAGAGCAGCTCCAGGCCATGTCCTGCACTGGCTGGGACAGGAGCATCTGCTACTCCCATCTCCATTTGCCCACAGAGGTTACCAGGGTAATTTGTTAAAAAAAAAAATAAAATAAAAAAGCCAAGCAGAAGGGTGAGAAGCCCACAGTGTAACTAGGACAAAGCAGCCAGCAGTGTTTGCTGGGGGTTTAATAATTAACAACAAGGTCAGTGCTGCACGGAAGAACAGCACAGAGGGAATGCACTGCAGGGTGGAGCCCGACAAGTGGATGATCATCACCCTCTTTGCCCAGAAATGGATGTGTCCAGGGTCCCACCCTTTGGGAGGAAGAGAGGTGGCTGGGGATACCTTCCAGCCATGGCATGAACCCACTCCGAACCTCTCTTTCCCTTGGGAAAAACACCCAGGAGCAGCATCACGAATAATTGTTGGAGTCAAGGCACCTCTACAAGACCAGCCCACCCTGTGCCATCAAGTGTTTGTGTAAAAGATTCCTGTCAGCCTCAGCCCAGGCTGTGTGGAAGTGGGGACAGTGTGCGTGGGGTCTGCTCCACCCGTGGGTCTGCAGCTCTGCCCTGCCCCAAGCTCCTGTGGCCCAGCAGCAGCAAGGCCCCTGCCCCACGCCCTGTGCTGGTGCTGCAGCACGCAGTGTGCCCAGGGCAAGGACAATGCCAGGTACAACTGAGCCATCTGGTGCCCCCACTCCTGTGGCCTTCATCCTGGGAACAGCTCACAAGAGCTTTGGTGACGGGAGGCCCGGGGTGCCCTCGGCGTGTGGTCACAGAGTGCCTCTCACACAGCATCCTTGAAAGTGGAGCAGGGCTACATCCTTGGAGGCTGCACCGGGACCAAACTGTCAGCTGGCACAAAACAGGGAGCCGTGCAGAAGTGCAGAAGTGCATTAGCAACGTGGCTGCGTCCCAGGAAAATCAGCCCATTACACCAGAGGAGAGCCATTTGCATGCTCAGCTGGCATTGCAGGGTTATGCTGGCAGATCCTGGCCGCCCAACCACACCCCATCATCACCAGCCCTCCACCCTCTGTGCAGGATGCTGCACACACTGCTGCACCCTCCAAACTGTGCTCCCAGCACACGAGGTGGCACAGGGTCCCTGCACATCCTGCTGCTCCTCCACGCTCGCAGTTCCACAGCTGGGAACATCAACAGCTGGTTCCTGCCCCGACCACAGCACCCAGATGGGATCTGGAGACCAGGATGCCTCCAGCCCAGCCACACTGAGCCATTAAAGATGTATTTCTGCCCAAAGCCGTTTAATTTGTTCCCAAGGCAGCCAGCTGAGTGCCCAGCAACGTGCCCGCTGTTTGCCGTGCCGCCAGGTCGCTGCCAGCCTGTTTACCAGGGGCTCGCTGAGGAGCCGTCCCGGTGCCCTTATCACTTCTCTTTACATTTACCCTCACAGAGTAAACAGGCCCCATCTGGCCCTGCCACGCTTTGTGCTGCTGCTCTAAGCCCTGTGATAATGAATAAAACCAGACCTGATGCTCCTCAGCCCAGCCTCTCCATCCTCTTTCCCTGGGGCAGCAACTTGTCCCCAGATGCCAATGTGGCATCACCAACAGGTCCCCAGCCCTCTCCCCATCCCCAGCATTATTTCCAGTACCTTCACAGCCCTCTCTTCTTCCTCCCCTCCACCTACTGCCTGCAGGAGCTGGTTTATCCAGCAACACCCCCAATATAAAAGGGCTACAGCAGGCTGGGGGTAGCTCTCTGTGCTGGCAGCCAAAAACTGTCTGTGAAGGCAAGACGGAGCTGACTCTTCCCTAGGTCAGAATAAATCAATGTTTCTCTTCTTGCCTGTGAGCAGGCTGAGTTTTCCAGCAAGGCTGGAAAGAGAGGCAGGTGCCTGAGCCCAGCAGACCCTCCTCAGCTGCCTGGGGAGCTGCCAGAGTTTCACCTGCTGCAGCAACAGCCGCCCAAGCCGGGGCTCAGCGCGGTCCAGGGCAAGGAAGAGGCCAAACCCGACACAGGCAAACCCCGTGGAAATTTCCACTGGTGACAGATACACAGGCAGGTTCAGTGGAAAGGATGGAAGGAGAGGAGCCCAGACCTCTGCAAGAGTGCCTGGAGTGAGGGGCCATTGCTGCCCCTGCTGCTCAGCTGCGTTACCCCCTGCTTCCCTGGCCTCCCCTCCCTGCCAGACATCCCATGGGACACAAAGGGCACAAAGGCAGGAGAGCAGGATCCATCCCAACTCCAGGAGCATGGAGAAGGCCATGGAGCCAGGAGGTGATGGTGCTGTTGTCCTATACCCATGGGACACACCACTTTGCAGAGCCCAAAGAGGAGTGAAGGGGATGCTGGATGGGGCAGAGCACCGTCTCCAGCCTGTGGAGTCCCCTGCTTTGTCTGCTGGGGAGTGGGAACAGGGAGCAGAGTCCACTGCACACGCGCGTGCAAGCTGGCACTCACACCCTGACTCCAGCATCACATCCAGGACCACCACCTCCAGGGCCTGAGCTGCTGCTCTCGCCTCCCCAGAGCCACCAAACCCCTGGAAAAACCCATCCTTGTGTCACGGAACAGGAGTTACTTGTCCTCAATGCACCCTAACACATGAGCCCCCCAAAAGAAAAGTCTCAGCCCCATGGATTTCCCCCGACAAGGGCAAACCCTGGCAGGGCAGTGCCACAGAAGGGTCCCAGTGTCCCCCAGCATGGGACAATCATGGACCAGGGACCGGCTGCTGATGACCTGGAGCGTGTTCCCAGCAGTGACTGGAGCCAGCCCTGTCTGCTCCCTGCCGGATGGTGATTTCAGCACTTTTGTGGCCCTGCTGTCTCATCTCCACCTCTCACCCCTCCTATGACCCAGAGCTGCCCTGACAGCAGATGCACAGCCCTAGGACACTGAGGAATTGTGAGACACCCTCGGGGTCCCAAACCAGCATGGGCCCTGCCCTGCCTGCCCCTGGTCCTTACCTGGAGGAGGAGGATGAGGATGACACAGAGGCTGCAGGCTCCTTTCAGCACCCGCTGGGTCCCTGCCTTCTGCAGAGCCCTCTTCCCTGGGGATGGGTTTCCCTGTTCCCGTCTGGGCGGCTGCGGTACCCGGGGGATGAGCGCTGCTTCCCCGCCTCTCCCTGCTGCAGGCTCCCTCTCTGGCACTGGCTCCTTCACCGCCCTCGCTCCATCCCTCACTCCCTGTGCCAGCAGCAGAGCTGCTCCAAGCCCAGCCTCATTAAAGAGACACACTCCCTATACCGGCACCCTGGGGGGGTGGGGGGATGCTCTCACCGGGAGCCATGGGGGTCTCAGGGGACAGCCAACACCCCCACAGAGTGACAGGCACCAGCCAAGAGCAGAGCCCATGGCTGTGGGCTGCTCTGTACCCACAGAATAGCAATGTCCAGGCAAACTGGTGAGACCCCTGGTGATGCTACAGCAAGAAAAGCCTCGGGGTTTGTCTGACTGGGACATGTAAACACCCCCTGTGTGCCCCCCCAACAGATCAGGAGGCAAAACAGCCCCCATCAACCAGCTGAACCCTGCAGCACAAATCATGCTGGCCACAAGTGTCACAACCAGCTTCACTAGGAAAGGTCTCAGCTGCCCTGAGACCATAACAAAATGACTGGGAGCAGGTAGATGCTCAATACCCACCCCAAACCCAGATGCCCTGGGGTACCACTGGGCTTTCCTCAGCAGCCTCCATGTGCTGCAGTGAAATCACAGCCCTGAGGAGCAGGAACGAGAGGGGATTCAAGGACAGAGCGGCTTTTGGGAGACAAGTGTGACAACAAGCCCCCTTGGGGAAGGTGCAGACAGTCAGGAAATCCCAGCAAAGTCAGGACATGTCTGCTGGCAGGGAGATCTCACAGCCCAGGCACACTGGGAATCCCTCAGCCACTGACAGCCCCACGTTCCCAGGCAGGACCAGAGAAATCCATCAGATTTGGGCTAATCCCTGCCCTGCCTTTCCCAGGCAGCTCCCTGTGCTATAGATAGGACCGTGCTGCTGCAGCTCCTTTTTATAGAGCACAGAGAGGAGTCCCCCCCACCTCCTGCACCGCAGAACCCACCGCCACAGCCACACCGAGCCTGCAGCCAGCCCAGGCACAAACTGGGGCAGGAAAATCCAGCAGCACCACAAGGGGAGCAGTCCCCAGTCCTCAGCAGGTATTTTTGGATCTCACCTCTGAGCTGACCCATATGCCACTGCAGCTGCAGCCCCTTGACACGGGTTTCACAGGAAATCTCAGTGGAAGCTGCTCTTGGCTGCACACGGCAGTGTGAGACACACTCCTCCTTCCCGACCCCTCACCCCAGCTTTAGTCAACAATTATCTGGCCAAGAGGCACTCTGTGCATCCCTAGGGCCCTTGCTAGAGCACTCTGAGCCATTCCTCCCCCATGTTAGATGGCCCATGACATGTTCCTTCCCCTCCCAGTGCAGAGAGGAGAGCTGAAGTGTGCAGCTGCTCCCCTTCCCTCTCCTTTACGACCACAGGAGAAGGATGCTAATCCATGTGTTATCCCCCCGTGACAGCCACCAGCTCTGGGAGCTGCTGGAGGCCCCACACACACCACAACTCATCCACACAGCCTGCGACGTGCAGGGCACTCCTGCTCCCATCACCACAGCCACTCCAGCCCCAGGAAAAAACCCACAAGCTTTGATTTTTCTCTGAGATATCATTTCTAGGCCAAGCTGAGGCGAATAAAAGCATCCAAATGCGAGCACTGGTTCAGTGCCACCAGCCAGGGTGATGGAGCTCGGCCAGCCCCCAGCGTCAGAGGTGGCCCCGGTGTGGCAGCAGGTCAGTGACAATGGCATGTGTGGCACTGGGGACACAGCTGAGCCTCCCCAGCGTGCTGGCAGCTTCGGCAGGAGACACAGAAGGCTCCATCCAGTCTGCTCCCAGCAGCATCAGGTGTTTGTGTCCCTGCTCTGCACTGTCACAGCTTCCCCACAGCAGCTCATCACCGACACAAACAGACCTGGAGAGCTTGGCATTGCCCTTCGGAGAGCGCTGAGCTAAAACATGCTAAACTCTGCAAAGGGAGGCTCAGCTCAGCCCGATGGCTCCACTCAGCCCCTTCACAGCCCAGTAACACCTCACCAGCAGCTGCAGCACAGCCCAGGGGACCAATCAGGATCTGGGTATTTATCCCCAAATCACCTCTTCCTGGAGCTGAATTATCACCCGTTGATAGGGCTTGCTGGAGGCGACACAGACCACAGAGATTTTACACATGCTCTCAGGTCCTGAGTAGCTGACAAGCCCTGTGAATTCAGTGTGAGTTGAGTTATTTTGGGAAATAACCCAAAACCCAGGCTGGCAGGAACCGCGTTCAATGCAGCTGCAACTCCTCAGACCCCGCTGAAGATTGCACAGGCTTGCCTGCAGGGAGAGGGGCAGGGGCGTCCTGCTTAGCTGCTCCTAATAACCAGGAACTAAACCAAATCCTGGGGATGGGTAGCCATGGAGGAGGAAGGTGCCAGTGGTGTTTCTGGTCAAAATCAGGCACATTTTGGCTTAACCTGCATAATACTGGTGTGCCCAGCTGTGGGGAGTTACAGAGGGCCTGGAGGGAGGAAATGAAACGACACATCAGCCGAGATGGCTGGTGGAGACATCTGGGATCCTTGGGGAGAGGGGCTGGGAATGCTGCCAGCACTTCAGCCTGCCTGACCGAAATGTTCCCAGGAGCTGGCAGAGGTGGATGGAGGGGCTGGAAGCCCCTGCGGGGCTGGCTCTGACACAGCCCCAGGCCACACACCGGCGGCTGCTGGATTGGCTTTCGGCAGCCGAAAACAACAGGGGCTCCCGGGCGCGGGGCGGGCCCGGGGAGCTGCAGCAGCCTCTGCAGAAACCGAAAGTGCCCGGGTTTGGGGAACCCGAAACTCCGCGCCGTGACGCCTGCCCCGCTCCCTGCCCGGGGGCCGAGCCCTGTGCGAGCCCGGAGGTGGGGCTGTGCCAGCCCTGGGAGCGGCACGGCACGGCTCGGCACGGCGGCTCTGCACGGTGGGTATCGCCGCTCCAGCTGCCTGCCCTTCTCCCGATCGCCTGCTCGCGGAGGTTCAGGTCAGCTCGGGCCAGGGGGCTCGGCGGGGTCCCGCCAGGTCAGCCTGTCCCTTCACGGCGGAGCTGCAGAGGCTCTGCCCGGGTGGGCTCCGCGAGGGCCGGCTCGGAGCCTCGCCCACGGCCGGGGCTGCGGGGTCTGTCCCCAGCCCGGGGGCGCCGGGGAGCGGTGCGGGAAGGCGGAGGGATGTCGGGCCGAGCGGAGCGGGCATGCCCGGGCACATCCCGCGGGCGCATGGCCGAGCGGCTGCTTCCCTCTAGCGGGGACCGGGGGCTCGGCCGCCGCCTGCGCCGGGCCCCGCACCTCCCTCCCTCCCTGCCTCCTTCCTTCCCTCCTTCCCTGCCTCCCTCCTTCCCTCCCTCCTTCCCGCCGCCCCGCGGCACGTGGGGAAGGCGGGACGCGCTTCCGGAGCGGCGGCGGAGCGGTGAGAGCGGCGGCGGCGGGCGGGGAGCTCCGCGCGGCGGTACCGGAGGGGTCCCGGAGCGCGCCCGGGATCCCGGGGCCTGCCCGGCTCCCCCGCTGGCCGAGCGGATGGGCCCGCGGTGCCCGGGCAGCAGCGGCTCCTGCGGGGGCGGCTCCCGGGGATGCGGGAAGGGGGTGAGAGCAAGCCCCCGGCTGGGACAGCTGCCATTCCTCCGTGCCACGTGAGCCCAGGGAAGGTGTGGGAATAGCAGCTCTGGCACGGACACGGTGTGCCCCGGAGCAGGCGCAGGGAGGGCTGAGAACAGGGAAGTCAGTGTTGTGAAGATCTGCATTAAGCTTTGTTCCGTGTTCGCAGTGTAAGATCGTCTGACTTGTAGCAATGGGGAGACCCAGGAAGGAGTCTGCTGGCACATCATCCCCCCGACCGGCCACAACCGCCGCCAAAACTGCTCCCGCTGCGCCCCCGCCTTCCACTTCAGCCCCCCGGGCCAGGGCTGCAGGGAGCCAGCCCCGAGGCACTTCGGCTGCCAAGGCTGCCACCCCCACGCAGGGGCGGGGGACAAAGGCAGACTCTGCTCAGCCGAGATCCACAGCATCCCGTGGAGCCCGAGGAGAAGCTGGGGACAAGAGCAGAGCACCCAGCTGGAGCTCTACAACCCAGAAGGCGCCTGATGCCAGGGGAGCCGCCGGGCCTGCCCGAGCTGACCTGTACCCGCAGAAGAAGCAGCCTGGGGCTGACCTCAGCAAGGCCTGTGACCAGTTCCTGCCCCGTGTGAAGGGCCAGGACATCCCGAAGGTGGAGAAGGAGACCCGGGGCCAGCGGGAGAACCCCAAGTGGTACGAGTGGCGGGAGAACCGCATCACTGCCTCCGTGGCCCCCAAAATTGCCAACAGCAAGTTTGCCAACAGCAAGACAGACGAGGTGCCCAAGTCTTACCTAAAAGAGGTAGTGAGCTCTGGCTCCAAGGTGCAGACCCCAGCCATGTCCTGGGGGATCCGCAACGAGAAGGTGGCTGTGGAGGCCTACAAGCAGAAGTCACAGAGGGAGGGCAGGCCAGTGCAAGTGGAGGACTGTGGCCTCTTCATTCACCCCGAGAAGAACTGGCTTGCTGCCAGCCCGGATGGGATCATCAAGGATCCAGCCACAGGGAAGGACCTGGGGCTGCTGGAGGTGAAGTGTCCCTACAAGCACAGGAACAGGACGGTGCGTGAGGCCTGCAAGGACAAGGACTTCTGCCTGGAGGTGGATGGGGATTCCTATGCCCTGAAGAAGAATCATCCCTACTTCACCCAGGTCCAGTGCCAGCTGGGAACCACTGGCTTGCAGCGGGCTGACTTTGTGGTGCACACCAACAAGGAGACAGCTGTGGTCCCCGTGGAGTTTGACAGCGAGTTCTGGGGGAAGACAGTGCCCAAGCTGGAGAAGTTTTACACGGAGGCAGTGATTCCCCACCTGGAGCAGAAGGCAGGCAGCTCTGTCTGGGCCAAGGAGGAGTAGACCACTCCTGCCTACCTCAACTGGATACTTGCTTGGTTGCATAACTCCAGCTTTGTTCCGTAGCATAGAAGTTATACCCAGGTTAGTTGCTGTTCCTGAACTGTTCACAGCCATAGAACTGAAAAGTTGTACCAGCAGGACCCTGCTTGGTAAGGGTCCCCCCAAACAGTGCCTTCTTGCTGCCCCAGCCAGGTCAGCACTCAGACCCCAGAGCCTTCTTGTCCTGTCACCCTCACTGTCCCCTACCTGTCCCAACAGCATGCCTGATAGAAGCTGGCACACATCTGTGGATCTGCAAATGAAACCAGTATCTCTGTGTTAGAATTAGAGGCTTATTTTGTGGAGAAAACTGGAACCTTTCGTACCTCAGTTGCTGTCGGGACTGATTTCTAACTGCACTCCAGAGTGGAGACAGAGACAAGGAAGGTTTGTCAGAGCCCAAGAGCAAAACTCTTCTTTTGAGCCAGTGATGTGCCTTAAGCATCAGAGCAAAGGCACATGGACACTCTTCCTCCCTGAGCCATCAGACCTGCTGCTTCTGTGGCATAACCCACGACATTCCCTGTGAGATGGCAGCAGGCTGTGGAACATGATTCCCACTGAAGAGGTTGTCCCCCAGGCCATGCACCTCCTGAGGACCTACCCATGGAGCATCCCTGTAAACTGCAGCAGCGTGGGGAGGTGGTCATTGTCAAATTAAATACAGATGCACTGGTCTGCTTGTTTCCTGTTGTTTTTGCAGCTTGGGATTTACCTGGGGGAGTAGCAGGGCTGAGAGGTGTCCCTACACCAGATCCCCTCCCAGCCACAGCAGAAGGGAAGCAGGGGAGCACTTGGGTCCCCCAAGGGACATGAGAATCAAGGTCACTGACCTATGCCAAAGCCACCACTGTTATGGCAAAAGTATTTATTATATACATAAGACTCCAGTCACACTCCACAGGGCAAGGACCAGAATTTCGCTATAATACAAATTAACTATAATACAAAGTAACTATAATACAAATTAACTATAATACAAAGTAACTATAAAAACATAAAGCACTTTTGGGGCCCAGGCTTTCCACAGGAGGAGAGAGGCACAGGGACAAGCCTGGGGGCTGCTGTGTGACAGGGGGCTGTCCCACACCCTGCCCCCAGCTGTGGTCCCACAGTAACCAGATGTGCAAGTAGGAAAGAACCCAGTTAAGAATTATAGTCACAGGGACTGGCAGGTAGGGGCTGAGCTGAGTGTCACCAGGACAGGAGCGGGGCCTGCATCCCCCAGGGAAAGTGCAGAAGGCACATGGGCAGGGCTCTTTGGAGGGGCTGTGAGGAGGAGGTGGGATCCAACAGTTAGTGCATGTGGGGCCCCAGGAGATCACAAACACTAACACACCACCCACAGGGACGAGCATCTGGACCACCCTCCCACCCCCTGCACACTTCTGGGATAACCGAGCTCTATGGCCAATCCGATCCTCGGGGAGAGCACGCAGGGCAGCTTTCAGGGGCCAGAGGTGTGGGGGGACAGTCCAGCCCTGCGTCCCAGCCCCTCCCCTGCCAGTGCATTGATTGTCTAAGTCTTCAGGTTAAAAAGGGACCCCCGGCCTTCCTGCTCTGCAGGAGCATCAGTCAACCAGGCGCTTGCGGGGCACTGTCCGAGCTCGGTTGGAGCGGCGGATCTCCTGCTTGGCGTCCCGGCACCGCTGGCAGATGAAAATGTCAGGCACGTTGGATTTGCGGATCTTGGCACAAGAAAGGTGGATCCAGGTAGCACACTCGTTACATTCGATCATGGGCCTCCCTGCGAAGGGCTTCATGCAGAAGCAAGTGATCAGATCCCAGGCGTCATCATCTGCTCAGGGAGAGAGAGAGACACGCTCAGACACGGCCTCAGCAGCTGCACGTCTGCTTGTGCCACACCAGCCATTCTACTGGTGTCAGATGGGACAGCCCCCCACTCACCTTCTGCTTTGGTGTTGGGAACTTCTGCAAACCCGGCTGTTGAAGTTGCAAAAGGGGGAAAAAGAAAAAAAAATCAAAATCAGATGAGTAAGGCAGGCCTGCACCTCACTTCAGACCTGTTTCAGGTCTGCACCACTTGCTCTGCAGAACAGAGCTACCAAAGGGCTGGTCTGCTTCCTGCCCTCTGCTCTTCAGTCCCCCACATCCCAAAAGTATTTCTCTTGCTGGGAGAAGCTCAGGCTATGGACAGACCCTCCCTGTGGCCAGCAAGGGTGGCTCCAGCTGAAGGAGGGACAATGTTTGGCTATGGATGCAGCACAAGAGGACCCTCTGCCATCCCCCAGACACTTACCACTGAGCTGGGAGGCCTCTCTGCTTGTATCTTCCCCTGTGCTTTGGTCCAAGCTATTACAGGGACTAGGGCTTTTCCTCTCTCCAGAGAAGGAGTCATGCTCCTTAAGCTGAGGATCATCTGCTGGCTTCTCAGTTCCCTGTGCTCCGTACATCAAGTCCTTCTCCTCTGTCACTCCCTCCTCCAGGAGGGAGTTGGGCTGGGGGTCCCCAGGCAGGTTGAGGGAAGGCTCCAATAGCTCCTCTTTCACAGGAGACAGCTGTCCTGCCAGTGCAGCCAGCTGCTTCACCCCATCCTGCTCTGCCCCAAAGTCTTTCCAAGCACTCAGCGGCACCTTCTTCTTCACCTCCTGCTCCAAGATGCGTTTCTTTGCTGGCGGTTTCTTCCGTTTGATTTGCTGGGGCCGGACGTTGTAGAAGGCAGTGGAAAAGGCAGGGCTGTTCATCAGCAGCCCACTGCCCACAGCCCCCCTGGCCACAGCATTCCTGCTCTTCCTATTGTCCATGGGGATGTGGCCATCAGAGGAGTGAGACGAGGTTGAGCTATCGCTGTCCTGAGTGCTCCCCGTGCTGTTCTGGGGGCTCATGCTGCCTCCGTGGGTCCAGGGCACATACTAGTGGAAAGAGGGGAAGATGAAGGATTAGCAGGGGAGACTGGAGCACAGATATTTGGAGTGAGGAGAGAACGACTCTCCAGCAGTGTCTGCCAGACTGAATGGGCCCTGAGCAACCTGATCTAGTGGGTGGCACCCCTGCCCATGGTAGGGGAGATGAAACTAGATGATCTCTAAGGTCCCTTCCAACCCAAACCAATCCATGATTCTCAGAGATTAGGAGCTGAGCCTGCACATGGCAGGGAGACCAGGAGAACCAGTGTCTTTGTAGAGGAACAGTGTGCAAACCCCCTTACCTCTTCAGGGTACGGGATGTAGCCTGCATAGGCCAGAACGAAGGTGCAGAACTGGTTGAAATCCTCCACAGTTCTCCGCCGTTTCTGAAGTGGCTGCAAGAAACACCACGAGTGGATTAAACTCCCGGGATATCCCAGCCAAGCCGATATCACAGCCGGCTCTGGCGGCAGCCCTGGACCACCCGGCAGCTTTACAGGCACAGAACATCGAGGTCACCCAAACACCCATCCTTCCCGTAACTCTTCATCACCCGCCGAGGCAAACGCAGCCCTTCCCTTTAAACGCAGATGCCGGGCGGGGTGGCGGCGGGGCTGGGCGGGGGGGGAGGCAGGGCCGGACACACGCGACGACACCGTGACGACATGCCGGGACACCCAGAGCCGGGCAGCCGCTGGCGGAGCCTGAATCGGCGGCTCGGGGGCCCGGGGCCGGGATGTCCGTCCACCCACGGGCGGTGACTCCGCGGCGGGGGACGCTCCCGCGGCAGCGCCCGGCGCGCTCGGGGCTCGGTCCCGCGGGGGGAGGCCCGGGCCCCAGCCGAGCACCCCGGGCCCCCCCACGGGGACCCCGAGGGCCGCCACCGCCCCCCCCGGGGCGGCATCCCCCGCCCGTGCCCACAGCCGCCCCCCGAGGGCTCCTCTCCCACGCACGGCCCCCGCGGGCACACACGGAGCGGCCCCCCCGCGCACTCACAGACACCCGCACACACACACGGAGCCCCCCAGCCCTCCACAGCAAGCTCCCCGCTCCGGCACCAGCACCCCCCGCGCACAGCGCTCCCCCACGAGGCCCTCCGCCACACACGGCCCCCCCCAGCACACACATGGCCACACGGAGGGGACCCCCCCGTACAGCCACGCCGAAGGACCCCCCCCGTACACACTCAGAGCCACACGGAGGGCACCCCCTCCCTACACACACACACGCACAGAGCGAACCCCCCCGTACACACACACAGCGCAGAGAGAGGAGCCGCCCGGACACACAGACACACAGGGGACCCCCTCGCCCTTGCACACGCACACAGAGGGCACCCCCCCAGCACACACACACACAGAAGGGACCCCCCCCCGCACACACACAGAGGAGACCCCCCCGCACACACACACAGCCACAGAGCCCACCCCCTCCGCGCACACACACACACGACCCCCGCCGCTCCGGAGGGCACCCCCGCACCCCCGATGCCCGGCACGCAGCCGCCCCCCACCACCATCCGCTGCCCGCCGCCCCGCTCACCTCCTCGGGCGCCGGGGACGCGGGGCTGGGCACGGGGCTGCTCCCCGCCGAGCACGGCCCGCCGCGGGGGCAGGGCTCCGCCGGCTGCCCGCCGGCGCTCATGCCGGTGCCGGTGGCGGTGCCGGTAGCAGTCCCGGTGCCGGTAGCAGTCCCGGTGCAGTGCCCGCCGCCGGTGGGAGCGAGGCTCGAGCGCCGCCCCGGCCGCAGGGGCGGGACCACCTGGTGGCGGGGAAGGCGGGGGCGGGGCCTCGCGCCGGCCGTCCCGGTGCGGGGGGGTGCCGGTGAGCGTCCGCCCCTCCCGGTACCGAGCAGGGCAGCGCAGCCCGGCTGGACTCGCCCGGACCCGCCGCCGCCGCCAACGGCAACGCCGAGGCACCGCCCAGCGCCCGCGCGGGGCCGCGGCTCATGGAATGTTGGGGCTCGGGGGGAACACCGCGTTCGAACGGTCCCCGCGCGCCGGGCCCGGGCGGGACCCACCCCGCCGGAGGGCTCCGTCCGACATGGCCGGGAACGGCTCCAGGGCCGGGCCATCCGCAGCTGCTCCGGCCAACCTGTGCGCCTGCCTCCGCGCACTCCCGGGGAAGAATTTCATCCTAATATCCAGAGTCCCCTCTTTCACTTTAAAGCCATCCCCCCTTCTCTCATCCCTATCCGCCTGTGTAAAAAGTCACTCCCTCTTTTTAAAATATGTCAACAGCAAAAGCCACTCCAGAATTCAGGTTTTCTCGTTGCTAGATGAGGATGGGCACCCCACAAGCAGGTACATAGATGAGGCAAAGATGTTTAATGCCTTCTTCACTTCAAATTTCAACACCAGTGATGGGCTCTAGGGGTCCCTGAGCTGGAGGACCATGGCTGTGAGAATGATAAACTCCCACTCAACTCCAAACTTGTGCAGGATCTGCTGCTCCAGCTGAATCCCTTTCTAGGGATGCTGTACGGGGCCTTATGGAATTCATCCAAGAGTACTCAAAAGAGCTGGTGGATGTCATCATGAGACCTCTCATGATTTTTGGACTGCCATGGGAATCTGGAGAGATCCCACTTGACTGGAAATGGGCAAACATTTTCCCTGAAAGGGCTAGAGGGATGCTCCTGGGCGCTATAGGCCTGTCAGTCACATTTCAGTGCCTGGTGAAATTATGGAGAACATTATTCTGAGAGTTACAGAAAAATACCTGAAGGACAACACAGGCATCAGTCACAGCCAGCAAAAGTTCATGAGGGGAAAGTTCTGCTTGAGAAACTTCCTTTAAGGACAAGGCGACT